CCACCCCCCGCAGAAAGTAGATTTTTTGAAAAATCGTTTCACGTGTTTCAGCGTTTTTTTTTTAATGTTGGAAGTTGTCGAAATATTTGACCGTCCCGGTACATAATTGACACCCTGTATGACAAACACATTCTTTTGATATGCCAACAGCCTCTGCTATCTCCCTAATCTTAATTCGACGGTTTTCCATTATCATTTGATGAATTTCTTCGATGTTATCGGTGGTGGTCGCAGTTGTTGGCCGTCCCGACCGCTCATCATCAGCTAAGCTGGTACGACCACGTTTAAATTCAGCTTACCCATCTTTTTACGGTGGTAAATGATGGGGCAGAGACCCCGTAAACAGCGTCCAACTCGGCTTTAATTTGCGTAGACATATTGCCTTTCAAATGCAAGAATTTAATTTTAGCACGATATTCAATTTTTTCCATTTTTACAAAATGACGACACAAATGATTGTCAAACAAGAACTGAACGTCCAAAGTGGCCACAATTGTCACATATATCTTTCATAAGTATCACGATTATAATACCAGAATGGCTTTGACGAGTAACGCCATCTTCATGATGAGGCTCAAAACTTTTCAGACGACTCTCGTATGTATATAAGTACCGCACGAATTACTGCGTTTTTTAAAGCTCTTAATTGTCCGTTATTTATTCTTGTGTATTTTAATTAATTAATCAAGGACGTCGACCAATGCGGACTCTATCCTTGAAAGAAAACAGTCCCAGCACCCACTGGTCGAAGTTAGATAAATTCGGTTAGGTCATTAATCAAATACATTACGCAAAAAAGTTAAAGGATAACCAAGTCCGTCTTCAAAAATAGGTAAATATTCAAAAGAAAAGTAAATAGGTAAATATTCAAAAAAGAAGTTACACTCTTTTGAATATTTAGCTACTTTTGAGGACGGACTAGGTGATCCTTTAATTTTTTGCGTAGTGTTACAAAAGAGAAGAACAAATAATAAAATACGAGATTGTTGAGACGGTCCATCACAATGATGCTATGTACGCATGCTTGTTAACTTCTTTAAAGAGCTTGTGCTTTCTTCAACCGATATCGCATTTTGTCTCCAGAATGCTGCAACCAGTTTCTTATATGTTTCACAATTAATGCGATAGTGCAATCAGGTCCTTTTGTACGACTTACAACTCCTACGTATAATATATACATATTGACATTAGTAAAATGACTTTAATTGTGTTTGTGTGGAAATAAGCGAATTTTATTTTATACATGGACGAATATATTAGTCATTTAAAAAATCATTTGAATTATAATTCTTACACGTTATAATTGCTAATAAATATTTTTATATTTACATTAAAGCATATAAAATAGAAATTGGCATATCAAGAAATTGAAAGGTACATATAATCTTTTATTGCAAGAGTACACTTACCAATTATACTGTTAGCGAAAGTAGAATTTGAAATCGATATAGTATTTTTAACACCAGTCCAGGATAACTTGTCCTACTTCAAATGTTAAACAGTTTGTGAGTATATTTGATATCATTTTTTGTAAAGAATCACCGCCAAAACTCTGTATCTTTTTCTCCTGCAAAGAATAATGTGTACTGTGTACATAATAATTATTATTGATGTATATTACATATTTTTTATTATTAAGACTCGGTCATATTTCCAATAAATTTATTTAACATATATTAAATTTATCTTAAATTAAATTAAATTAAATTTATTTATATTTCTCTTCTAGAAATGTCTTGAAGATATCTTTAAAGAGATATCTTTTAGATGTCTACAAGACCTTTTAATGTTTACTGGGATGTTATTTACTAGTACAATGTTATTTATTTCGACAATTTCTCCGATGTTGTGTAATTGAACAATGGGGATGGCAATTTGACAAGCTCAGCGTAGAGGGCAGCACCGAACTAGGGGACATGATCGCGAAAGCGCGTATTTCGTTTATAATCAATGAATGGAGTGATGTGGATTGAAATTATTATCGAAAAATAAATAATATGGATTATAGTAAATTGAAAGTAGCTCAATTGAAGGAAGAATTGAAGAAAAGGGGAGCGCCTTTGAGAGGAAAAAAGGCCGAACTTATGGAAAGGTAAGTGATGTCGATATAATGTCGATAGCTTGTCAAGCTATTGTGTGATTTTAATAAAAAGTCACAAAAAAAATCAATGTATCTATATCAAAACAGTTATTTACTGCGGTTATTTATAATTTGCTGTGGACTTTAATACACTGCTTATAGAACATTATTAAGGATTGAGGTTAAAATTGAAATAAACATACAGCCATCAACAGTCTCTAATTCTTATTTCTATCTACTAGATTGATAGCATATGTAAACAACAACAACTTTGATGTTAACGTTAGTTTGGATCCAGTCCTCCCTGAATTTGATCTCCCTCAGGATGAAAAATTTAAGGATATAAATGCCAATTCAACTTTACCCAAGATCACCAGACTTCACATCGATCTCTATACAAATAGGTAACTTGCACTCCGTAGTTATTATTATACTTATGAAAAACAAATATGTTCACATTTGTTTATTATATTTTTTGTTCTTAGGTTTGAGAAGAAGGATGATATGGGTGAGGCTATGTATAAGAATCAATTTTTGGAATTTGTCAGGTACTGCAAAAGAGATGACACTTTCTTTTTTAAAGGAGTGGTACATGCTCAAATGTATAAAAAGGTAACTTACAACGTGCATCTCAAGATTGCAAATGATGCTACAATAGAAGCCACTCATTGCGAATGTGCAGCAGGGGAAGGAGGTTCAGCTCACTGTAAGCATGTTATCGTGGTACTCCTTGGAATTGAACAAATGGTACGTGAGGGTGACATAATATTGAGTCAGGCATGCACTCAAAAGTTGCAAACTTTCCATCAACCAAAAAAGAAGTACCAAGGTACTCCTTTGAAAGCTGCTTGTTTAAAAAGTGTCTATCGATGCAATCATATTCAGTTTGGTCCCCGACCTCCGAAATACAAGGGAAAAAATATCAAAGAACGACTTCATAATTTATGTGCATCATTCCATTCAAATATGCCTTTTAAGCATCTGTTGGTTCCCGCAAATCCCTATGGTGTTGAATTGGATCATACATACTCAAAGATGAATCCTAAAAATAAATTCCTCCAATACATGCTTCTTCGTAATGTGACACAGGAAGATATTGTGAAGATCGAGATAGAAACTCGTGGCCAGTCTAATAATCCCCTATGGTTTGCTCATAGAAAGATTCGTATTACAGCTAGTCATTTTAAAGATTGCTGCATGGTTAAGAATGAAGAGGCTGCCAAATCACTTGCCTTAAGGCTGCTGAATCCAAAAAAAATACATAGCGAAGCATTGGATCATGGTATTATTAATGAACCAGTTGCCATCCGTAAATACATTGAATATACTAAAACTAAAATGGAAATAGAAGAATCAGGACTAATTGTATCAAAGGAACGTCCATATTTAGCTGTTTCTCCAGATAGATTGTTGGGACCAAACTGTTTAATTGAAGTGAAATGCTCGTATACTTCACGAAATCGTGAGATAAATCCAATTACTGTGCCATACTTATATTTTAAAGAAGAAAATGTTCTATGTTTGAAGCGTGACCATCAATATATGTACCAAATCCAAGGCCAGTTATTCGTTGTAAATAAAGAGATTTGTTACCTAGTTCCCACATAGACAAAAAGACATCTTTTATATTTCTAAAAGATGTCTTGGCATGTCTTTAGATGTCTTTCATTTTTTACGAAAAGACATCTTTTAGGGATCTGAAAGATGTCTTATGCAACATTTAGAGATGTCTTTTATAGATCTAGAGATATCTTAAAGATATCCTTAGATATCTTATATCGAATTTGAAGATATCTAAAAGATATCTTTTAGATATCCGGCGAAAATGTTCGAAATGCTTTAATGATATCTAAACGATATCTTTTAGATATCCGATGAAGATGTTTGAAATGTTTTAAAGATGTCTAATAGATATCTTTTAGATATCTTGAAAAACGTATTGTAGATCTTAAAAGTTACATAGCATGACAATGTTAAATTTATTAATTGAAAATTGCTGTTTTCAACGCGCTCGCGCTGTGAACAACAATTTTTAATTAATAAATTTAACATTGTCATACTGTTTTTTTTTATATAAAGAAATAGACACTTCATTTATAAAATATAATAAATTATATTTGTGAATTTTATACATAAAAACTTATAATTATAATCAAATATAGTATTACAACATTCATAAATGATCAGTATTATATTACTGTATGTGTAATATATGCAATAATTTCGTAGAAATATCTAAATAACTTCCTAGTTAGTAAAAAATTAGAATTGAGAATATATGAATTAGAATTGATAAACATCGTTCAGAAAATTGTTTAGTTTATCATATTTGGACGCAAAGCATGTAGTATACACATATGAACATATCCCATCACCATTCATTAATTACAATCCATACATTACTTATCTATTTCTATTATAATTTATCGCCATCTTAAATTTTTTTCTTATGTTTCGTGTTTTAATTAACATAAACAGTTATGTACCATAAGTACGAAACAAGTATTTTTTAGCATCATAGCATTATATATGTGTAAAGATGCATACATTTACACAAATTTAATTATGGAGTACAATTGTTATTTTATAATTATATAAAACAGACAACTAAATGTGTAAAATACTTGCATAATTACACAACCTATATGCCAATGCTATTAATTAATTAATAATCAAGACCAATTTTTTGATTATAGAAGAATTAAGATAAAGAATTAAGATAAAGAATTAAGATACTTATGTGTATAATATTTACGATGGTGCTATGTACGTATGCTTATTAATTTCGTTCAAGAGCTTGTGCTTTCTTCAGTCGATATCGCATTTTGTCTCCAGAGTGCTGCAACCAGTTTCTTATATGTTTTATAATTAATGCGATTGTGCAATCTGGTTCTTTTGTACGACTTACAACTCCTACGAATAATATATACATATTGACATTAGTAAAATAAATTTTATTAGAAACAAGTAAATTTTATTTTATACAGGGACGAATATATTAGTCATTAGTCATTAATATATTAGTCATTTATTGCAAAAGTACACTTACCAATTATACTGTTAGCAAAAGGAGAATTCGAAATTGCTATAGTATTTTTAGCACCAGTCCAGGATAACTTGTGTCCTACTTCAAATGTTAGACAATTTGTGAGTATATTTGATATAAATTTTTGTAAAGAATCACCGCCAAAACTCTTTATCTTTTTCTCCTGCAAAGAATAACGTGTACATAATAATTATTATTAATGTACATTACATATTTTTTATTATTAGGACTCGGCCATATTTCCAATAAATTTATTTAACATATATTAAATTTATTTAAAATATATATTTTTAATTAAAAAAAAAGAAATTATAAGGAAATGCATTGTATTACATAAAAAAAAATCAGATTTATTAGGACCGTTGAAATTAAAACACTAACATAAGTATAATCATATTCAAGCCTATGACGGTCAAAGCTGTTATTAATGCCTAAATAATTCACCGTGAATTATCTATATCCTATATATGTACATTCATATATATCATATTTTTGTAGTTATTCATACATAAAAAAATACTTACAAAACATTTACGAATTGTTTCATTATTTTTTAGTGTCTCGTTAAATTGAACATACTCCTCGACGGATGTAAATGGCAAATCAGGTATTAAATCCATAGTTACTTCATTGTTTCCTTCATTTCTTGGATATTTATCTCTTAAAATTGCAAGTATTTCTTGCAATTTTGTTATATTTTTAATTATTTCGTTTCTCATCTCTGTTTCAAACTGATTAAGTTGGTGGCGAATTAATTTGTTACAATCTGCAACAAAAGAAAGCATTTGTGTGTATGTACCATTCACATTTTAATCATTATCAGCATAGATATAAATTTTTCCAATAATGTTACAAATAACTTTAAAATATTTTGTATCCCAGGATTATTTCTTTACATTTTTTTATTAAAGAACTTTAAAGAAAAATATAACTTACCACAAATTTCTCGTATATCGCCGTTTACATTTACATGTTCAAGTGGGAGAACAATCTCTGGATCTATATATATACGAAATAATAAAAATATATTAAAAATTATTTAATTTCTATATAATTAAAAGAAAGTTTGCATATATGCCGTGACAAAAAGTATACTGTTACCTAAAACTTGATTTTCATCGTTAATTTGTTGGTTGTTAAATAGTTCGTCATCGTTATGAGAATGATTTTCCTCATTATCATTGATTTCTTCAGCGTTAGGCAGATTTTCCTCATTGCTGATTCCGTCGTCAGAACTTGTATCCGTTTCATCAGTTTCACTGTCAAACACTTGGATTGAATATGGGTGTTTCTCAATATGTGGTACAATGTTTCTAGTGGTGTTTGCAGGTTTAGTGGGACTTATTTTACTATTTACGTAATTTTTCCGCCTTTGCGTTTTATATGAGATCAAAGTTGGCAGCTGTTATCTCTTGACTCATCAATCAATCTGACAATGAGGCTTCTCAAAATGTGGAATTGAAGAGGCTCTTCCGGCTGCTCCCTTTGGATCGTCAGGATAGAAGTATTGTTAGATATCGCTGAGAATGGCTTAAAAGAAGCCGAAACGTACGATTTAAACTATGTGGAACCTCTTGTGAGGTGATGTAAAAATTATTGCGAATACATTTTCTTATTATACGCACTTGATAACTGCGTCCTTTCTTTAGCTCTCAATCGCCCGATTTTTAGTCGTTATTCATTAAATTTTGTTAATATTTCGAGAGCTCAATTTATATTTTATTTATTATTTAAATTAATGTAAATAAAAAATTTGTAACATATTTAAATCAATTCTCAAACATATGACTGCGCGCCTATCTTATTATTGTCTATATTGTTTAATTCAATTTTTTAATTTTTTTAATTTAATTTATTTCAATATTTCCTTTTTTTATTTTGCGTCCATTCTTTTATTTTCTCTTTTTTCTTTATTCTTTCAATACTTGTTTTTGAGTTTCTGTAATTAGTCACTGGAAATACAAAGACGCAAATATTATTATTAAGTCCTTAATTCCGTTAAAAAATGCTTCAATTATAAAATGGGAAAATGCATTTGATTTAAATATTGTTACGTTTTATGATAAATGTATATAAAAAATTGAAAATGAGTGAAAATGAAATTTCACACATTTTCACACATGAAAATGAGTGATTTTCAATAGAGGGCAAATAGGAAAAATCGAAAATGAGTGATTGAAAAAGAGTGATTTTCAATAAAAGGCAAATAGGAAAAATCGTTTTTTAAAAATATTTCTATAATTCTTTTCTATAAAATGTTTAGAAATTTATCGACTTACGCACCTTTTCTTAAAAAGCCTTTTGTCCGTGTAGATGTAACGTAGGCTTTATTTAAACCTCCTTGACTCCTTTAATTCCTTCGTATAGGAATACTAATTTCCAATAGCCTTGTAATCCAATAGCTTTTATAAAGATTTGTTTTTCCACGAAGGACGAAAAACTTCGACCACTTCAACTGCACACAATGGAGACGCAGAAAAAAAGAATGTTGTAGATATATCTTCATTTGTTTCACAAGAGTTACACGACTGCTTTCTCGTTCTTGCTTTTTGTTTTTTTTTTAAATCTATCAATGGCTGCGTTCAGCAGACTCAACAGTTTTGCAACCGTTTTATTTAACACAGCCATCTTCATGTAGGGTTTGGAGTATGGATTGTAATCTATCAATTCGAAATCCTCGGCAATGAAATCGTCAATATCTTTAACTTCTCTAACTATCCTTAAGTTTGGAAACTCGCGCGGTTCGCGTTTTACTTGTTCCTCAAGGGCGCTTATATGGTTGACGTAGACGTAGACAGTCTCCCATTGTATGTACAAATTCTCCTGGCTGAAAAATAAAAGGAAATAAAAAATAGAACAAGATTTGTCTGGAATTTGAGTGCGGAGTATCGCGATCCTTACCTTTAATCCAGTAACATGAGCGTCAGCTCATGTAAGTCAGCAAGGAATACGATGCTATGTTAAACGGCACTCTTAAACCCATGTCTGCACTTCTTTGATAAAGCTGCGTGGACAATTCTCCGTTATTTATTGTACTATCGCATTAATTGTAAAACATATAAGAAACTGGTTGCAGCAGACTGGAGACAAAATGCGATATCGGTTGAAAATATCGTTGCACATGCAGTCGCGGGAAGACGCTTAACAGCGTATGAGGCCTTGATGGCTGACGAACACGACCCGTTGCACACGCGGTCACGGGAAATACTATTATTTTCCTGCATATTATTCTCTTGTCTGCGAGCAAAATGTCTTGTCTTGAGCAAAATGTCTTGTTTTGTCTTGAGCAAAATGTCTTGTCTGCCTGCAAAATAAAATACAAAGTTTTATATTTTATAGTAGTCCCTCTCTCTCATTATTGTCGACCACATTTGATACACTATAGTGTATCAAATTAGCTCAAATTAACTCGATCTATATACTTAAATACGGATCGCGCAATCCATTCTCTAT